AAGAAGAAGAAGAAGAAGAAGAAGAAGAAGAAGAAGAAGAAGAAGAAGAAGAAGAAGAAGAAGAAGAAGAAGAAAGAAAGAAGAAGAAGAAGATGTACACCAGCAAAGACCAATGAGAAATCCCTTCTTCTTCGCCAACTGCAAGGAAGATGAGCATTGGCGAACTCCATCAATCAAACAGCATCATACATATGAGTCCAGATAGTCTTGACCTCGAACCAACAGCAGAAATGCATCACGAGATTCACCAAATAAGAACACACCAATAGTTCGTAATTGACAATGCTGAAATAGTCTCTCATCATCATCAACGCAGAACAAGAGTTGATGTCCTATTGGCGCTCGGCGCCCAGACTACTTGTGGCAGATCCTATCTAGCCTAATACTACAATGCCGATGTTGACAACAACAGCTTCCTGAAGTACGAGCATACAGCGGACAATGCCGCACACTTCCAGCACCAGGTATGTCTCTCACAACACTCACAACCCCGATCCACACCACACAGATGCCACTAGCACCCAAGGACCACCCTGCGCCACACCCAGCTCACACCGGAGCAGCTCGGCTATGGCTGCCCGCTCCTTCCTGCTCGCCCGTGAGAGCGTGAGTGCCAGCCAGCCAGCAAATAGCGCAGCAGCGCTCGCGCAGCATGCAGCCAGCACCCAATTGCCAAATGCGGAGGCAGGCCCATTGCTATATGGAAGTGGCCTGCCCGTATTCTGCCCAGGCTGCGTCTGGCCTTTCCCAAGAAGATTCCGGTAGGCCCCGGTAGGCACAGGCCCAGACCTCACACGCAGGCCCAGGACCTGATGGTTGCATGTGCCCAACTGCCCTTGGCCTGCTTACGGCCTTCCGCATGCGTCTGGCCCAGGTCACCGTTCAGATACATTTGCAGAATATGGCCTGGGCCCAACTGGCGCAGCGCAATTGTCTGAATTTCCGCAGTTGCGGGGTACCCTGAAAATCGAGGCCTTGAGGGCCTGTCGCGCCTGCCTTCACTTAGGGCGGCCGACGTGCTGCCAAAAAAAAGGGCCCCCAAAAAGGGCTGAGCGGGCGTAGCCTCGCATTCCCTCCTCCATATCTTCGTTAGTCCTCTGAGAAGATCAATCCTGAGCCATCTGGCGCTTTCCTTTCAATACATCCTTCTCATAGCGGGCAACGATTTGAGGAGCGGTCTGCATCAATTCCTCCCGAGTAAACCAGCGGTCCTCCTTCGGATCCGTGTGATGTCTGAAGTGGACACGAAACTGCAGCTTTGGCTTTGGAGGACGTCCCCTTCCTGGAGGCTTCTGAACGGGCACCTCCCTGTGGTCGACGATATCATCGATGTCGAGTTCTCCGTCCATGGTTGGGGGCAGCATTGACCGACGAGAGGGAAACTGATCAGTTTCCTTGAACGCAGCGAGCTTAGAGGCGTGAAAGACTGGGTAAGTTCTGAGATGACCAGGGATACGGATGACATAAGATGGACCATCAGGATCTGTCCCCACTACGTCTAAAACTTCCCAAGGTCCAAAGTACTGAGGCATGAGTTTGCGGGATATCCCGAACTCCTGTCCCAGTTCTGAAGACTTGACCCAGACTCTGTCCCCAACCTGAAATGTAGAAGGGCGGCGGTGTTTATTCTCAGATTCTATCATTGCTGCCTGCGCCTTCTGCATGTGCTCTATAGCCTCCTGCATTTTCTGTTCGTAACGATAAGCGAACTCCAAAGTGCCCGGTGCAATAGTTGGCTGGTTATCAGGAAGTAGGAAGTCTAAAGGCAGTCTAGGCCTAAAGGTAAGATGTAGACTGTTAGGACTTACCCCGGTAGCGCTGTGTACAGACTGGCGACAAGAGCAAGCTTCTCGTCCCAGTCCACCTGATTGGGCTTAATGTAATGCCTCAACAGGTGTTGAACAGCGCGGTTCATTTGTTCAGCCTTGTCGTTTGCTTTTGGATGGTTTCAGAAGTCATTTGCAGTTGAGTTCCCTGTTCAGCTGCAGCGGCCTTCCATAACTCACTTGTAAATCTGACATCCCTGTCACTTACAATAGACTTAGGCAATCCAAAATCCCTCACCCAGTTCTCTTTGAGCAGCCTGATTACATACTTGGTCTTCGCTGTTTCTGGCATGGCTATTAACCTAGCATACTTACTAAACCTATCCACGATGACGAAGATCTGCCTCATCCCACTCTTGCTGGTGACCAGGGTATCCATGAAGTCCATGGACAAGCTTTCACMCGGCCTTTCCGGAATCGGAAGGGGCTTGAGCAGCCCAAGAGGAGCCTGAGTACGGGGCTTGTCTCGTTGGCAAACTTGACAAGTTTCCACGTACAGCTTAGCATCTTTTAACATCGTGGGCCACCAGAACCTTTGCAACAAATTGGATGCGGTCTTCTTGTACCCAAAATGGTCGGTGGCGTCATGACACTCGCTTAAAAACAAACTACGCAAAGACTCTTTATCAGGGACACACAAACGTTTATTCCCTTCCTTCTCGAGAAACAGCAAGCTATTGACTAACTCAAACTCGACTGAAGTTTGTTTATCCTTCGCCTCGAGTCTGCRTATGATCTCAGACATAAACTGGTCCTCTCGATAGGCTTCCACCAAGGATCGAGTGACATCATCCGTAAGATCGTACTCAGTAATCAGCGCATCTGAGAAGTCAGGTCTACGCRACAAGGCATCAGCAACCTTGTTGTACTCACCCTTAATGTACTGAGGGTCAAAGTCATACTGCTCAATGACTTCTATCCAACACTTCAATGCGTCAGAGAGTACAGGCTGAGTTCTCATCCATCTCAAGGTCTGATGATCAGTCCTGAGGATGAAGAACCTCCCAAGGAGATAGTGTCTCCAATGGGTCAGCGCCTTGAACACCGCATAGAGTTCTTTCTCATAGGCGGACTTAGCCAACTTCTGAGACGGCATTTTCTTGGACATGTACTCAAAAGGCCTCAACTTTGCCCCCTCCTGCTGCGCAAGCACGACGCCAATGCCATATTGGCTAGCATCCGTGGTTACTATAAACGGCTTATCAGAATCGGGAAGTTTCAAGACTTCATAATGCGTTAGTGCATGCTTCAGATGTCTGAAAGCAGCCTCGCACTTATCTGTCCACTCCCACGGGGTGTCAAGGTGAGTCAGATCAGTCAAAGGAGCGGTCACTATGCTATAGTTCTTAACGAAAGTCCTATAGTAACCGGTCATTCCTAAGAAAGATCTCATCTCAGTCACCGACTGAGGTCGTGGCCAATCACGAATGCTGGCCACCTTCGCATCATCGGGCTTCAACCCATCCGCGGAGATCTCATGACCCAAGTACAAGATACAGGTGCGGCCAAACTCGCACTTTTCACCGTTGATCTTGAACTTGTGCTGTCGCAGGAGACTGAGAACTTTGTCTAAGTGTGCAACGTGCTCCTCGACAGTCTTACTAAAAATAAGTATGTCATCGAGGTACACGACGACAAACTTATCCAGGTAGTCATGGAATATCCGATTCATAGCGTGCTGAAAGGTGCCAGGAGTATTGCAAAGGCCAAAAGGCATCACCACAAACTCATACAGACCGTACCTGGTCTGAAATGCGGTTTTGTGTTGATCCTTGGGCCGGATTGCAATTTGATGGTACCCGGACTTCAGATCTATCTTACTGAAGTACCTACACCCTTGCACTCTATCTAACAGATCGTCGATGCGCGGTAGGGGCTCTCTGTTCTTCACAGTGATGGCATTGAGGCCCCTATAGTCAATGCACATCTTGAGAGTGCCCTCCTTCTTCTTTGGTACGAATAGTACTGGAGATTCGTAAGGAGAGACACTCGGTCGGATCCAACCCTTCTCTATGAGTTCCTTGAGTTGGCGGCGAAGCTCATCAAGCTCGCCTGGAGACATCCGATAGATCCTACCCTTCGGAATACTAGACCCAGGGATAATCTCTATCGCGTGGACGACCTCCCTATCAACAACCCCTGTTGGCTCTTCAAATAGATCAGGGTACTTGGCAACTTCTCCCTCTATCTCCGGCGGCATTTTCACCGGCTCGCCTGCAGCAGAGATATAAACTAAGTACATACCCTCCTCCTGATGTTGCTTATAGTAGTTATAGAACGCGGCCGCACACATGCATCCATGGGAATCGATCAGACTACTAGCTTTGAACTTGTGTAATCTGGCGGTCCCTCCACCCGGCAAAGTGTGCTTGACCACTTTTCGGTCCCAGTCAAACTGAGGCTGTGCCACAGAGAGGTAGTACATACCTAACAAGATATCCATAGGGAGATCGTCGCTCACTAGGAATGAGACACGATGCCTCAACTCCCCTCCCGCGAACGGGAACAGTCATTCTACATCCTGAAGGTAGTCATTGACTACCATGCGCTGTTTCCACAGGTCGACTCAGCCGCTGCACTTGCCCCTGTAAGCGCAGCCTCTCAACGCACGCGCGACTAACAAAGTTTTGTGTCGAGCAAGTGCCATAATAGGCCCCGGCCTTGCGGCCGCCTATGACTATCTCGATGACGAACATCTCACCCTTCGGGGCTTTAGCTAGTGTCGTCCAAGAAGCTAGCGGGTCTAGTCTAGACCACTCCTCCTCTAGCTCCTCTAAGGACTCAAACACATTCATCGAGCAAAGGGTCGATGGGTCTGAATGCGTTTGCGGGACGACAAGGGAATCAGTAGCTTGGGCCATGATGCGAGATGGCGAGGGTGTCTCCACCACCTCGTCCCTAGTAGGAACAACTACTATTCCTACTGGCCTGACGTGTTTCCCGGAGCAGTGCCTGATGAACTGGCAACATTGCTACCTACGGGAGATGAGGATCCTACCGCCTGCCCCATAGTAGGCGGGATCTTATCGGTAACCTTCTTGTTCCTACATTTGAATTGGTTATGGCCGTATTGACCACAACGGATGCAGGCCTGACAGTTCCACCGATCTCTCCACACGTCCTCGAAAAGACCCGCTTTCTCCCATGGAGTAGCATTGGGGTCAACTTGATTCCTAGAATGGGAGCCCCCTCGGCGTCTACCGGT